CGTACTTTTTGGTATGACTGCCTCGTACCATTCGGTATGAACGCGTACTTTTTGGTATGGAAAAACAATCAGGTTAGTGGTGAAGCTCGTATAATTCACTACTGTTATGTCTGGGGGGATAGACGCGTCCCTACTCTTGCACTGGCTGGACATTAGACCTACGTTGATTCTCGGACTTCTTGAACTCGTCATACGTCGCGCACGGACCTTTACTCTCGAACTCTTCAATCACCTTTTTCAGTTTGGCAAGTTCTTCGTCTCGCAAGGCTTGAGCTTTCTCTTGTTTCGCTTGAAAGTTGGCTGCATGGAGAGAAACCGATGCGAGGTGCTTTTCCACTCGTTTACGGTACATCCGCAACTGATCCTGGAGATGGCTAAACGTGGCTTCACCTTCTGCTTTGTCCCGTTTGGCCCTACGAATTCGGTTCATCTCACGCTCGTATGCTGCATCCGATAATCCGTCCGCAACCTCTTCTGTAAGGTCGTCCGTGTCCGCTTCGAGTTGGACTTTCAATTGATTGAACGCGGTTACCGTTTCGAGCTTGAAATCGTAAATCTCTTGCGTCGAACTCCCGAAGTCACAAGCCGCTGAAGGAATTTTTTCAGGATGAAGCGTGAACATTATCGCTTTGTAGAACTTGGGCCACTCCACATAAGCAGGTCCGATCTTGTACAACTTCCTGCACCGCTCCCGAAGCGTATTGAGACAGAACGCAAAGAGATTCGGATCCTTGCTAATTCCGTGAAGAAGACTCGTGCTTGGCGCAGGTTTCCATTTCTTCACTGGTATAGGCTCAACATCGAGAGGCTTGTTGCTCATTGTAACAAGCTGTTCTCTGGCAACTGCATTTTTTTACATTTTTTTAAAAAAAATACAATATATTTACAAAAAATCGTACCCTCGAGACGACGAAACCGGTTGAACACTCTCTGCTCGAAGCGCTTGTTCAGGATTTTGTCCTTATGGCGCTTGTAAGACTGGCGGTTGATGACCTTGCGCGTCTTGGGTGCCTTCTTTTTGCCACACACCTTACGGTGCTTGGCCATGTTTGACTTAGACACCAGCTTGCCGCACGTGGCGCACTCGCCCTTCGGAGCCTTGCTGGTGTTTCCTTCCATTCGGATGTTTTTCTACGACTGAATGTTTGACGTAAAAAAGAGTCTGAATGGATACACTTTTCGCGATCGCTGATTCGCTGATTTGTGGTTTTTGTTTGCACGATTTTGATTGGCTAATAAAAATGTTGTTTCAGTGTTGTTTCGGGGAAAGAAGTACGCGTACTCATCTTGCCGATACTTGCAAGTTTAGTTACATTTATGTAACAACAAGGGTGACGACCAGTAAAGCACCGATGAATTCGAGCAACGCGTGGGACTGATTTTGCCCGGCACATGCGAAGCGGGTCGCTCTGGTACGGTCATGGGGTGAAATGCAGTGCAACCTGTGAGCCTAAAAAACGAGCCGTTTGAGTTGGTATGGCGCGAAAGCGTTAACGCCTTCATGGGATAGAGCCTCCCAAGTTTCGGGTGAGTATGGAAGCACTTGTTCAAGTCAACAAGCTGGGAAATTAGTAGCCGGGCATTGCATTGTCGCTGTGGCTTTGCGTTGTAGCTGCAGAGTTGCTATGTTATCCGGTATGATTAACTTATTTTTAACGTCGGGTTATGTTCTAGTTTTAGATACACGAAATAAATTTGTCGTTGTTTTAGTGGCGCTATTCACAAGCCAAGGTATCTGGCATTTTAGGGGAAAAGCTTGTTTTCGAGTAAATGTTGGTGGATATTTAAGGGAACAGAAAGGCAGTAGTTGGTCGAGTAAGCATTCCGATGAGATTATGTCCGAGTGGTTGTAGAAGAACTGCGAGTAAATCAATATGTATTGTGAATTTCGTCCAAATTTGCCGATTTGAGTCTGTTTGAGGAGCGGGAGGACAATCGCCACGATACAAATCCAAGTCATTAGTAGAACCCACCAAGTCTTTTCTTACCGCCAAGTCTTACTCGAATTAAATCCGCACTCACATTTTAGACGACAGAACCTGGTTGGATTTGGCCCACCGGTTAGTACACTTTGCGTATACAGTGTATATTCGCCAGGATTGTCTTACGTGCTCTAAAGCGTTGGTTATTGGGCTAGTTGCTGAGAAAAGATGGCGTGAAGGTGCCATCGTTACTACAGAATCTCCCGCTTAACTTTGGCACAAATATCACTGGTAAGCCTAATAAAAGAGAGGATAGGAAAGGGATTGTTTAACCAACTTTCTTTTTCTTATAGGAAAATAACATGGAATAACATAAGACGTTTCCCCATTGTGAAAACACCAGTAAACGAATGCTTTGTATATCTGGGCAGATTTAAGAACGCCGCAACGTGCTCGCAACAACGTCGTGTAGTATCTTATCAGCCTTCACTATAGAGACATCAGCTTTCACTACATCTATCTTGGTGATAACGTTTGTCTAGCCGGAAGACAGGGGCTTCCATTCAATGAATTGCCTACGGAGCTTTTCAGATCTTTCGTTCGTAGCAGGAATCCTTTCCAGCATATTCTTCAACTGAGTTTCACCGAAAGCCTTCACAAATACGCCTACCAAAGTTTCTTTTGCTGACTTCTCTCTGTTGTATAGCATTATATACTTGTCCAGCGTTTCCACTCTGCGGCTAACGATTGAGGATAGGTCGTTCTTCTTAAACTCCAGAAGCTTGAAAACGTCATCCACGGACTTTTCGCTGTGTAGCCAGCCTTCCAATTGCTGTTTCTGCAAACGTACAGCGAGCATATTCTCCTCCTTCACTGCGGATACGATTGCCTTTGCCACTCCAGCCTCTCCGTACTGCTTCGTCAGCACCCCGAGCAGCGTCTGCTGCTTGCTCGGATTCATCCGGTTGAACTCAATTATGTACTCATCAAGTCTCCTGAGCTTTATACTTTTCAGAGCATTTTCCACATCATCACCAAGACTTAACAGCTTCATGACTCTTTTTGGCTCTAGTTGTTCTTGTTGCCAACGCCTGAGATTCTCCAATTCGATGGCCTTCGCTCTTGTAGCAGGGACGTGTTTTGCCTTCGTTAAAATTAACCTAAAGTCATCATCACCCCCAAAGCCCGTAGTCAAGGCCCTGAGCAAAGTCTCGTGGCCATTTTTCTCGCTGTTGAACTTCACAATATAATCATCAAGTACCTCCAGCTTTCGACTTACGAGCGCTACAAATTCGTCATCATGAAGCTTGAGCGAGTTGAATACATCAACGACGGATTTACCACCCTCCAACCAAGCAGAAGTTTGCTCAGCCCGCAGCTTCTTTGCCAGCTCCGCCACATCCGGTGCTGAATCTGCGTGTCTTTCCGCAGATACTAGCGCTTTCGCCACAGCATCGTCTCCGTAGCGGGCTGTGAAAACCCCGATCAGTGAGATAGTGTTGTCCGGGTACTTCTCGTTGAACATCGCGATGTACTTCTTCAAAGTGTTCATTTTCGAGCTTTTCAAAGCAACCGCGACATCGTCTCCAAATTTTAAGCTGTTCAACACGTCAACTCCTTTATTTTTCATGAGCAAAAACGTCCTTAGCTTAGTGTCCTCGGCGATCTTCGATGCGGCAGTCTTAATTGCATTGACGACATTTCCTAAGCCAACTCGCTCTTCATCAGTCCCAGCCCCAACTTCGTACTTCCTCAAGAACCTTTGAGCTGGAGTGTTGCCTTGCTTATCAATCGCAGATAGGCTATTTGTGAACCATTCGCGGTTGGTATTTTCCGAGGAGCTCTCGATGCGTGTTAAGAAACAGTAGAAAGCAGCAGTACGACCGAAAGGAGACGCATAGTCGCGCACTTTGTGTCTGAGTGGGCGTGGTCCTGGTCGCTGATGAGTAAATTGCGAAGTGACGAGCTGATTGTCGGGTTCATCAATTGCTCGTCTCGATATTACGGTTCCATTTCCCATCATTACGTTAATCTTGGATCCCAAGTATGGATCGTGGAAACCGGAAGTTTTAGGGTATACGAGTTGACCAGAGTTCTCAAGGGCAACGGTCAAATTACAAACTGACTTGAGACACAGCAGCATTTTAAAGATCTAACCTTAATTCCTGAAGGCCACCATTTAAGGGCAGGTTACTTGTTTTAGTTATAAAATGTTTCATGTACACACAATAGTGTGAGTTAAGTCGAAGTTTTTGACAGGACCGAGCCGATTCAGCAAACGATTGTCCATTCAAAACAAAGTTCTTGTGCCCCTATTCCTTTTTTAGATTGCCGAATGTATCGAGAATTGCATTGCGCGTTTTGGTGACTACAAATAAAAAGACAAAGATCGGCAACACAACAGTGAATTAATTATAATGGAACTACGACATATTTTTAACGAAAACTAACATCGGAAATCTGTTCAGCATTTGTTATACCCAAGTTTTTGAAATTCCCACTAACTCCTATTATTTTTTAAGATCTGGCAGACTCAACCATTATAGACCAGACGTAAATCGTGAGGAACAGTTCCTAACTGAAGCTATCGGCTCGTTTTTATTAGTAACGGCGGAAAACAGGTCTAGCGTTGTGCAAATTACCGTGCAGATCATCGTTATCCACAATTCCTAATAGTGGTGGAAGGTTTCCAGAACATGCATTTGGATTACGGGACATTCGTTCTCGATGATTTCAGCTTTTAGACACGCAATCTGATTACTACAAGCATGGCGTAATAAAGTTTTTTGAAATACATTACTATAACAATGCATGTACAGTAGCCGATAGATTGCTCA